ACAGGGTCTCACTGTTACCCAGGCTGCAGTGCAGTGGCACAATGAATCGCACAACTCACTGCAGTCTCTCAAACTCCTGCGATCATGCAATCCTTCCACCTCAGCCTCCCAAGTAGCTGGAACTACAGGTGCACACACCAGGCCTGGTTAATTTTTTATGTTTGTATTTTTTGTAGAGTTCAGATCTCCCTATGTTTCCCAGGCCGGTCTCCAACTCCTGGCCTCCAGCAATTCTCCCACCTGGGCCTCCCAAAGCACTAGGATTACAGATGTGAGCCACCATGCCCAGCCTCAGACATCTCTTTTCAGTTTCAGCCACATATATCTGCTATGAACGTCACCTCAAATTCACCACATTCAAAACCTGTGCCACTTCCTCTGTCTTCTGTATCTTGGTGTCTGTACAAATCAGAAAACAAAGTAACCTAGACTCCCCATTCTCCCTCAATTCACACTTAACAAGCCACCAAGTAGTATAGAAACTATTGCTTTATCATCTCTCCTGTCTTCCTTCATCATCTCCCTCATCTCTGCCTTTGATCAAACACTGTTTTGTCTTGTCTGGACTGTAACAGTAGCGTCTTAGCTGCCCCTTCGGCCTCTAGTCTGTCCACCCCTACATATTGCTGGACCCCCAAATACTGCTGAAAGTATGACCCTTCTATTTATTTATTTTTTTTGAGACAAAGTCATACTCTGTCACCCAGGCTGGAGTGCAGTGGCGTGATCTCGGCTCACTGCATCCTCTGTCTCCTGGCTTCAAGCAATTCTCCTGTCTCAGCCTCCCAAGTAGCTGGGATTACAGGCGTGCGCCACCAGGTCCAGCTAATTGTTTTTGTAGTTTTTGTTTGTTTGTTTTGAGACAGAGTCTCGCTTGTCACCCAGGCTGGAGTGCAGTGGTGCGATCTCGGCTCACTGCAAGCTCTGCCTCCTGGGTTCACGCCATTCTCCTGCCTCAGCTTCCCAAGTAGCTGGGACTACAGGTGCCCGCCACCACGCCCGGCTAATTTTTTTTTCTATTTTTAGTAGAGACGGGGTTTCACCATGTTAGCCAGGCTGGTCTCGAACTCCTGACCTCAGGTGATCCACGTGCCTCGGCCTCCCAAAGTGCTGGGATTACAGGCGTGAGCCACCGCGCCCAGCCTGTTTTTGTATTTTTAGTAGAGACAGGGTTTCACCATGTTGGCCAGGTTGGTCTCGAACTCCTGACCTCAAGTGATCCACGTGCCTCGGCCTCCCAAAGTGCTGGGATTACAGGCATGAGCCACCATGCCCAGCCTGTATGACCCTTCGAAACTGTAAATATGATTAGAACCTTTTGGTGTGCATGCCAGATCTTGCATTCGCTGGGTATGGCATTCCTCTCCAGCCTCACCTCCCTTCACCCCCGCACATCCAGCCTCCATCTCAGCCTCTCCAAAACATGTGAAAGCTCTACGATGCACTGCGCCCGTTTCTTACCTCCAGTTCTCTTCATGTGCTGTTCTTGAAATGCTCCTCCCTTTTTTCTCATTCGCTCACGCTCGTCCTTTAAGTGCAGTTTAAGTGCCACCTCCTCAGAGAGCCTGCTTGCATTCTTCCATCTGACTTAGATGCCTCCTCTCCTCCCTGACTCTCTCTCAGCACCCATTCCATACCCTATTATAATTGTTTCTAAACTGTAAACTCCTCAGAGACCGAGTGCACTTTTAGCCTGGTGTATTAATATCGCATTTACAGATTTTACTTGAGTTTTTCCAGTAATGTAGCATATGCATTACAGCACAAGGTGATTATGCCTCCCCAACTTTCTCTGCTTTCCGGAGCTCCCAGGCGTGGGGTGTGGAGGCATGGGCAAGAGCATCTACTGCTTGGAGCCGGGAGCTGCAGGTGCCACCTCCTTCCCCTAACCACACCCCCCTCCCCCCGCCCCCCCGCTTCTCCCTACTCTTGCGAGTGAGCCCCATGGCCAAGCTGCTGCCGAGCCAGGAAATGAGACGTCTGGATGCCCAGCTGCTGGACTGCCACAGCTTCCCATGCCATCTTCTTGGCCCCTCCCTACCCCCACCCCAACGAGACTGGGCGAGAGGGGAGGTGTCCATGCTCATTCTGCTGACTGGCCCCTTTGAGGGGAGATGACTGGCCCCAAGACAAGAGATGGTGGTTCTCTAAGCATAGAAGGTGGGAAACTTAGCATCTTTTCTTTTCTCAGTCAATCCCAGAAGTAACAGTAAAATCTAAATTCTTCTTGTTGGCCAAGAGCAATTTTGAGGGCTTTACATTTAATCCTTATGGTTAACCCTATGATGAATGAATTAGCCTTATTATTCTCAATTGACATATGAGGAAATTGAGTGAAAGGAAAGGTTAAGTAACTTAACAAAGTCACCAGCCAGTAAGTGGCAGCGCAGATTCAAACCAAAGTAGGCTGGCGCCGGAGCCCCTCTGTGTGCCCATGGAGCTCCACTGCCTCTCTCCTCAACCAGTTGTTACAGGGAGGTTCACTGACACCCACCGCAATTGTCCAGAGCAGTGTCCGGCAGCCAGGCGTTCCTCCCTGAGCCTCAGTGACCACATGGGATCATGGTGCTTCTCTTTGCTCCTCATTTAATTTTACCTGCTGGGTATGGTTTTCAAGTTACAACATCTCTTGGCTGGTTCCCCATGGCTTTTCAAAAATGTTTCTCTTAGAGTTTAATGATTAGTCATCTGCCCACTATTTATCTATACTTTTCATGACCTTTACTTTCATTTGCTTTTACTGATTTTTTTAAATTGAGAAAGTAATATGCACTCATGAGAAGCTATGCTGATTGCAAAAAGTGGACAGTATGTAGAACAAAAGCATACATTTTGTTCACGACTTAAATGTGGTGATAAAATGTATGCTTTTTTTGTCTGTGACTAACCTAGCCTTCCTTCTAACTCCATCCTCACCTCGCCTCTCTGCCACCCCCACCCACAGACTAGTGGCAAAAAATCAAAAAATAATAATAACTCGTGGCTCATGCCTGTAATCCCAGCACTTTGGGAGGCCGAGGCGGGCAGATCACAAGGTCAGGAGATCAAGACCATTCTGGCTAAGACGATGAAACCCCGTCTTTACTAAAAGTAGAAAAATTAGCCGGGTGTGGTGGTGGGCGCCTGGAGGCTGAGGCAGGAGAACGGCGGGAACCTGGGAGGCGGAGCTGACAGTGAGCAGAGATCGCGCCACTGCACTCCAGCCTGGGCGACAGAGTGAGACTCTGCCTCAGAAAAAGAAAATTAATAATAATAATTAACTCAGTGTCTGATCTTGGTTAAACCTCAGTCTGCCTGGTCGTTTCAGCTGTGCTTTAGTGGGGGTTTCAGCCTGTCTTGGAAGAAAGGGCCCGTCTCCCAGAGAGCTTGTCCTTTACCCTGCTCCTCTCAATGAGGAGAGAGAGGGACGCGGTGCAGCTGTATGGCCTGGAAGCCAGCATTCTCGCGTCTACTGGGTGTCTGTCTGCTATTCCCTGGCTCCCCCGGCTCTGGGCAATGCTCTCTACCCATCAAGGAGACCCTGCAGACCCCTGGTGCTGAAGTTGAGTGTGGAAGGTCGGGGTCTTGTGTGGGGGCAATGCTCCTGGTGGGCCTTCCTAGCTGCCCTGACCTCAGCCAGACTCCTGACAACCCTGCCACCCTTCTGGGTCTGAGGAAGCTTCCATCAACCCTACTCAGGTGGTCTTCCTGCAGCCCTCCACAAAGCCAGTTTACCCTGGCCACAGCAGCTGCCTCTGCTCAGCTTCCCAGCCAGGGCCAGTCAGCACAGGAACCCAAGAGCAGCTCGGGAAAGCTAGCGTGGGTCCTTCTTCCTCTTGATCACACTGCACAACTACAGCACGTCTCACACTGGCTGTGCTGGGTTAGAATGGGATACCTCCCGAGGCAGTCCTCCCCGGAGCCCCAGGCAGAGCACTTTGGGAGGGTGCAACTTACCTTTGCTTGCACTTACCTTTCTTCACTATCCCTCCTGGATGCCACATATTGAAAAACAAAGCAAAGTATGGCCTGTCACTGACTACAGTGTTATTTTCTTTACTGTGTGAGAGAATCCAATGTGTATGAGTCCTGAGGCTTGGGGGCTCGTACACTCAAGGGGCAGATAAAGGAGTCTGAATCTTTACTTTTTTCTCAGTAAAGCTCTATTTTCAGATATCAGTGATTGAAAATTGCTTCAGTTCTTCTTTAGGCATTCCTTCCACAACGTGTAAGTCTAGTGATGCTTGGCTGCAAGTGACAACATCCAGGTAAAAGTGTCTTAAACAATGAAGACACTGATCATCTCAAATGACAACAGTGCTGGGGCTCCAGGCTCCAGGGTTGGTTTGGCAACTCCAGAAGGCCACCAGGCACCCAGCCTCCAGCTGCCCTGTGCTCCACCATCCTCAGCACGCCAGGTTCTCACGGTCAGGCTCGCCCCCGGGCCTGGGGACAGCTGCAGCTGCTCCAGGCATCCCTTCAGCAGGCAGCCTCCTCAGCAGGCAGCGGCAAGGGGCGCCTTCGGGGTGGCAGACACCTCCTCAGGTCTCTCCTCTTCTTAGCAGTGAAAACCTTTCCAGAAACTGTCCCAGCAGACTCCTCTATTTCACGTCATCCCTAACCTTGCCACATGCCCGGAGTTGGAAGGAACACTGGGAAGGAGGGTGCCAGGTGTTTCCACAGCCTCTGCTGTGGGAAGCGGATCGGCTGCCGTGGAGGAAGGGGGTGTAGATGGCTGTGGTGTAAGAAACAGCGGCATCCGCCGCCTGAAACAGACCCTGCTCTTTCCCCGGGCAGCGCTATGCTTTAAGAGCTCTAGGCTTGTGCTCAGAAAAGGAAAATAGAAGAATCCACTAACAATTTTAAAATATTATCTCCTCTATATGGCAGCATACACTATGGATACGTGGTAATATACACGTTTTTGTATTTTACTTTGTTCATTTGACAATGCTAACTTAATCATATACTAAATTCTATGTATACTCGAGTCTATTTCTGGACTTTCTGCAGTGTCGAGTCCTGTGCAGTGTGACGCTTGTGTTGTACACTCTGGCAGGCCTAGGCATCTTTACTACTCTTCAAAATTTGCTTAAATATTTTTGCAAGTATGTTTTTGTAATGTTAGCCCCATTTAGAGCTGAGCTATGCCTTGAAGACCTGGTTATATTCATGTTTACACACACGTATTCATGCTTAACTGGAATTATGTGCTATTAAATAACCAAGCTCCTCTTGTTAGCTATCCCAGGGGGTCACAACTTCAAATTTCTACCTGAGCCAGGCAAGTAATGTAAATGATTGAAGCAGGCTGTAGTTCAAAGATTAAACATGCAGCAATTTTCTTAGCTTCCTGAAAGAAATAGTCTTTCCTCCATTTTTCTGGAACCATGTGTCTCATTTAATCTCTTTTGATAGAAACATAGTAACTAGGAAATATTTTTCAACTACCAAGTGACTAGTAAGTTGCATCCAATATTTGACCTTAATTATGGGGAAATAATAAAGAGTAGTGGGGATTGTGGCAAATATGCCTCATCTGAAGAGAGTAATGGCATCAGCCCTACCAATTGCTGCTACTGGGAATTACAGATATTCACATATCTGCTGATTTTTACAGAGAGCTAGAAATACAGATTTTATATGAAATTTCCTTATTTAAAATGCTAATATTTAACACATCTTCAGGCCAGGTGCCATCCATAGGCTATTAGCATGTAAGCTCTGAATTGGACCTATATATTACTACCTTTAAAAAGTAGTTTATTTTTGCTAAATTGTAAACTATCATTTTTAACTGACTAAACCAAATACTAATCAAAATAACTAAAAACCAAAACAACTCAGAGGAAGCTGTATGTAAAATTATGTTGGATAATGTTAATATAAACCAAGGGAAACCACATTGAGATCTAATGATTTCCCCAGCTTGTTTGGGCATCATCTTATTTATTCATTTTATTCAATTAATTTATTTACTGAGTACCAACTCAACTCAAAGTATGGTAGTAGACTTAAAAGGAGGGAAAAAGAAAAAAAGACATGACACCTTCTCTGGTTTGGCTTACTTTCTTAATGCCATTAATGCTGATATTAATATAATATCAACATTAGCCCAGCTTTGGACTAAGGTTGTCATACACACACACACACACGCACGCACGCGTGCACACACACACACACTTTATTACGATATTTAAATAAATATTGAGTTTTTTCTTTTAAGTATCACCCATAATGCAAATAAACAAAAAACCCTCCGAATTCTAGAAGTGTTCTTGTTTTCATTTAGAAGTCCAAACAATGGGAAAATTAATCAAGGTAAAGCAAATAATTTAAATACTTGAAGTCGTAAATTAAAAAAGAGGAAAAAGCTGAGACTGGATTCCTGACTTTATAAGATGCTGTCTTCACCCAGAGACATTAAGTAATATTATTTAATGTTACATTTTAAAATAGGTTTTGTAATGAAAGAAGAATCAGCCCCACCTCTACCTTAACTGCAATTGAAGTCAAATTGGCAAATTTGTTTCAATACAATTTTCTCTAATTCTTGACCACTTTCCAGTAGGCGTTTGATCAAGGCGAATGTTCTATTTTTACGTTTGTTTCTATACTGGTTACTTCATCCTCAAGGGAATTACAAAACCAATCATTATTTAAAGTGTCTATTAAATTAGAAATATTTTGATAGAGATATGATAGAAATATACTTTAGTTGGCACTTCTATTAAAGTGATGGAGAGTTCTGAAATTATCTGTAGTTTGGTTTGCACATTATCAATAACTCTGAAGGTTGTGAAGCTGCATCTTGAGAAGATACTTTTCTTCTGCCTATGCCAAGTTGCCTATACAGTACAGTTGAAAAATGCTCATATAAATTGACTCACTTATGCTAGAAATGGGACCATTAAAAAATCTATTTTTTGTGTATAATTTGAGGGAAATGTTGAATAATTTTCAGGAAGTTAGAACTACAGCACCTGAATTTACCATGACAAGGTCCATTTTTCTTTTCCTTTTCGTGTGTGTGTGTGTGTGTGTGTGTGTGTGTGTGTTTGACAGAAAGATTAACAAATTAAAAGAACACATCATTAGTCAATAGGAATTTCAAAAATAACATACATGTAAATTCTTGAAAGCAGGTAATAAGAATTTACATATATGTTATTTTTCAATAAAGTACTATATAAATAATGGAATCTTTGGTGATTTCACTTTTCTACAGTGCCCTTAAGTGAAATAAATTTTATTCTGTCTCTTCACAACAAAATGATAAATATTTTTCTTTGTTTGTTTTACTTACCTTTATAAAAGAAAACTGCATGAGCTATCATTTAAAAAATTTCTGAGACTGGGCATGGCGGTTCATGCTTGTAATCCCAGCACTTTGGGAGGCCACCGGGGGAGTTTCGTTTGAGCCCAGGAGTTCAAGAGCAGCCTAGGCTGAAATTAGGTGAGAGATTTTAGATATTAACCTACCCAGTAAAGAACTACCAATGGTAATTTCCTGAATTTGAAATTATAATATTAAAAATTCATCATTTTATTTCCTTCTCTGTATGAATATCTCTTACAATCAAATAATCTCTGATTCTCTATATTATGAATCAGTTCATTATCATTATCACACATGGTTGGAGCGAGAGCTTTTGATTCCTGCCTGGTGACTGTGAAAATCTCTAAGCCACCAGGTGGCAGAGTGTCCTTGGTTTAGATTGAGCATTGCATTTTTTTTTTTTTTTTTAAACTGATTGCCAAATGTATTAATAGTTTACAGCTATTGTGAGCAACCTTTAAACCTTTTACTCATGTACCCCTAAAATCATTTTGAAAACATGTGCATCACCCACAAACTTTTAAGTTTACATATATTTCAACAAAAGTTTAAATAACCGAGGAGATATAACTTTTGGCATACTGTAGAAACTTTAAAATAAAATGGTTATATCAATCTTTACATACATCTAATAGAATACACAACATGATAGGGGTCTGATAACCACCATCATCTGTTTTTAAAAATTCTGAAACAAGCTCATCTTTCATAGTTGGATGCTTTATATTACTCCTTTTTTCCTTGAACCTCATTTTCCATTTTATCTCCTCTACAGAATTGTATACTAATATAAAATATTTTATAATTAAAAATCTGTGATCACCCTATTGTACTTCTCTGCAACAAGAGTATATATATAGATATTTTATTTTTTATTTCTCGTGACCAAAAGGTGCTGAATGTCAGAATTTTACTAATATACAGTTATCCAACACCATAAACATATTACTTTTGATAAATAGTTATAACAAAAAGTGAAATTAATTGGAAATGCATTCCTGAATGAGTCAGCTTAGGGGGTTAGAAGTTTGATTGTTTGGGGCCCAGGATTCTTACACTCCCAGGCAGTGCACTGCAGTAAGATTCTGGATGGGAAGAGAGGGGGCCTTTTGTAAAGTCGGAGAAGGGTGCTTGTGAAAGAAGAGACAGGAAGAGGAAATCCAGCCTAATGAAAGCTTGTTAATTTTAACATAATGGGCGCAGGTTGATTTTAGGAAAGAATATGTATATGAGCTGATGATCTAGAAATTTGTTTTCTTAAAACAGTGGTTCTCACCTAGGGGAGATTTTGCCCACAGGGCACATTTGGCAATGTTTGGAGACATTTCTGGCTGTCACGCTGGGGGCAGGGTGTCGGCATCTGTTAGGTAGAGGACAGGGCTACTGCTAAACTACTCTGTTCCCAAAGCGACACAGCTGAGAGCCTGAAACCTAGCAAGTCCTCAGTAAACGTTTGTGGAAAGGAAAAGACAATGAAAAGGAAGGAAGGAACCACACAATTGGCTGCAGAGAGAGCTACAGTAAGACGACTAGACTCTTGTAATTACATTTGCTGAAAACTTCAGAGTACTTCCTTCTCTTCCGTGTTTGTACAGTTTTCTTATCGGAACGGAGAAATTCGAGGAATAAAATTTAAAAGGTCTACATTTTCCCAGTATATGTTTTCATTAATTAGAGAAATCCTGAAAAACACAAAAAAGACCAAAACGACCCCTAGTTATACCACCTAAATATCTACGGAGAATAATAAATAGCAGCCCCTGTTTTGCTGATCTCATCCCACTTTGCCTAAATAACATCTGCTAATTAGTTGATGCCCATTCTTTCATAAGTTTTTCAAGGTTCTTTTTTTTTGTTTTTTTCTTTCAGATGAGAGTCTTGCTCTTGTTACCCAGGCTGTAGCGCAATGGCGCGATCTCGGCTCACAGCAACTTCTGCCTCCCAGATTCAAGCGATTCTCCTGCCTCAGCCTGCTGGGTAGCTGGGCTTATAGGCGCCCGCCACCATGCCCAGCTAATTTTGTTGTAGTTTTAGCAGAGACGGGGTTTCACCATGTTGGCCGGGCTGGTCTCGAACTCCTGACTTCAGGTGATCCACCTGCTTTGGCCTCCCAAAGTGTTGGGATTACAGGTGGGAGCCACCGGGCCTAACCTTTTCTAAGTTTATAAAGAACAATTTATACCTTTAAACTTCAGAGTATAGAATATCAAGATGGCTTCAAAATTGCCTGTTTGAGAGATTCTTTCTTTCCTAGTATTAAAAGCACAGCGGTCCATTGGAGGTATATGTGTATACTTACACAAACGCACATGCACACACACATGTACACACATATTATTGTGTACTATGAGAAACAAATGACTGTACTTTAAAGATAATCTTTATTGAGATATCATACTGCTGAAGTTTAGAACCATCTC